GCGGAGAGGTAAACTTCTACCTCACCCAATTTCTGACGGGTCACGGCTTTTTCCGGTCGTTCTTGTTCAGGATGGGCAAAGCCGTGTCACCCGATTGCATATACTGGCCAGGCATTCCCGATGACGTGGAACACACTTTCTTCCACTGCCAGCATTGGGAAAGGCCCCGCCTAGAGGCCAAACAGTTCGTAGGACTGCTGTCGGTTGACACGGTCGTACCGATGATGATGGAGGGTGAGGACAATTGGAACTGTGTGTCACTTTACATCCAGGGTGTTCTTCGCGCCAAGAAGCTTGACCTCGACCGGGATGCGGTGTAGTTTAAAAAAAAAAAATGCCAGAAACGGTGCGAGCCCTGTGGGCTTAGGTCACATGTTAGCCTGACTTGAAGTAATGTGACAAACTATTCCAGGTCTGTGTCCAACAGAGTAGAGGGGGTTTTTTAGTGAGTAGTCTGTGATAAACTCAGGAGTCTCACATAACAGGCTGGCTACCTGTGGGCGTAAAAGCATTTTCCCTCCTCACCCTAAAAAAAAAAAAAAAATAGTGGAAGGTAGCAATAATAACGCTAATATGCTGTACAATTTCTATTAGTTCTGTCAACACTAAGAAATTAGTGTATGGATAAATAAGTGTGTATAAAATACAGAGTGCAATTATGACGCCAAAATGCTGTAAGATTTCTGAAATTTACGCAGCACTTTGAAAACAGAGTGCAATGACGACGCCAAAGTCCTGTAAGTTTATTAAATTTTACGAAGCACAACGAAGTCATCGGTTGTATTTAGTTTTATCATGGAAAATCCACCATAGACATACATTTTTAGATTTATTGTATGATTAGCAGTTAAATAATAAGTATATGTTATAAATTAAAACTTATAACACAACAGTTCTGAGATTTTTAATATTGTACGCAGCTAACATCGATTCCCGGCTCACGCCAGCATGCGGCACTGACATCTAAGATGCCACAAGCCTATTCCAGATGGCACTCCCGAAAGAGTGCACCGCTTCTGGCCGATGGAGAGCTCACCTCCATACGACCCCGGACCGTAGCCCGTGTGTGGGGGTGAGCAACTTTTGGGATACATCGGAATGTGATCGTGACGTCATAGAATAGTTCAAGTATCGACCAACAACCGGATGGGCGGTTTTAGTTCGTAATCGTATCGTAGTCGTAAATTTTGCTGTCAACAAATGATTTGGATTGAAATGGATTGTTAAGCTGTTTAGTATTTAACAAATTTGGGTGATTTATATATAGCCCTAAAACTTGTGTTTTACTTTCCTGTATATTAAACTCCATTTGCTCTAAAGTGTCGAACTATAGAGGTTCTACAGTACCTAAACGGATTTAATTAAACATCAAATCAGGCAAATAAAAATTCGCTTAGTCTGCACGTTTGCTGCGGTGGGGGTTTTAATACTAAGTTAAGAAAGTCCTAGCTTACATTTGACTGTCTCCTGGTTGTTTAAATCTGCAATGAAATCCCATTTTTGGGTAAGTTGGGCTAATTATTTGGTTCCCAAATAGGCCTACAGTGAAAAATACTATAGACTATTTTTTTATAAGTTTGAGTTCTTTCCTAATTGCCTGAAGTTGAAGAAGTTTACTGACACAAGTTATCAAATATAAAATTTGTAAATACAGTGGAGAATCGTATTAAAACAAAAACACTACGGTAACTGAATTAAGAAGGGCTTATCCAACCTTTTGGCCACTACCTCTGTCATATCCTAGGCCTAGACCTATGGTGAATAAATTTGCAACTCCCGTTTTAATTACATTTAGCTAATTTAGTTACAATTACAAACAAATTCAGCCTATCACAGTCAGAATCCATAGCTATAAACTGCAATACAAATAGGACTAGCTTACAATTTAATTGAATCTCATGATTCTTTAAGTTATTTCCTTAGAAAATAGGAGTTAACAAATTTAATATTTGTTTGGTAAACGTCACTTTGGTGTTTTTTAGGAACTAAACAGTAAAAAAAAAACAGAAAGGACACATTATCTGCCTCTCTAATGAGGGAATGAAAATAATTTCAAGTCCAAGTCAAGGTCTAAGTAACTTCATCATTCGGGTGGGATGGGGTAGTTTACTCAAGGAATCAAGACTCAAGTGCCAAGGGTCGAATCAAAGAGTTTAGCTGTATCAATCGATAGTCCCACGGCTATTCGATAGTTAAGTGACGTCACAATCACATCCGAGGTATCCCAAAAGTTGGTCACCGTGTGTGGGACACCTATCTAGCAACCCGTCCTCTCAGACGGGCCTCCGGGTTCGCCCCCATGTCCTCTCAGACAGGTTATCAGGCCTGCCCCCGATCCGTCATTAACGTGGACGGACACACATCCCCGGCCGAAATCGAGAACTACCGGACATTCACCGGCTTTAACCACTGCCCCCGAGAGACCATCGGCAACCTTCACCCTCGGTACCAGAAGAGCTCTGGTCAGCTTTCGGCACTGTGGGTAACGACCACACAGACCTCCCCAATTTAAGACTGATGGCTAGTCTTCTGGCTGGGTCAACCACTGGACCTCCGGTGACAAGCCTGAGACCACGAGGATGAGGCCAATAATAGAGGGGGGGAGAGAGAGTGAGAGAGAAAAAATTTTTATTTATTACAAATTGTTTTGCAGCAATAAATACTCAAAATAATAAAATCACATGGGTCACAATGACCTAGTCTGTGACTAGACCTATGCGTGATAATAACTCTAATATACTGTAAAACTTTCTATAATTTTCTAACACTAAGTAAAAAAACACTACAAAAAAGATGAAATAGCTGACAATTCCCTTTAAATATGAATACTCAAAAGGTTAACATGGGGAACTACGGAGCCACTGGGGCGGAGCCTGAAAGGATTTTTGAGATTAGAATATGCCCACATGTTAATCGGGAATATGAGCTATCATCATGCCAAATTTCAGCCCATTCCGTCCATTAGTTGTTAATGCGTGATTGAACTTCAAACAAACACAAACTTTCACATTTATAATATTAGTAAGATTGGGTTTGAGAAGAAACCTTACGCAGCACTATTTTATTTGACTTGCTTAGTAAAAAGTTATATATCCTGACTTCGAAGTGCTATAGCATTTTGAAGTCACGAGACACAAAGCATTTTGGCGTCACAGACTTTCGGAGTCTGATTTCAAAGTGCTGTGAAATAACTCAAAGTGCAGCATTTCGGCGTCATGCTTTCGGCGTCACGATTTGACGCCGAAGTGCTGGATGTCAGTGCAAGTTGACTTCAAACTGCTGCGAATTCAAACATATATATATATATAGGTATATATATAGATTTATATATATATGTGTCCGTGAACACGATAACTTGAGTAATTTTTATCCGATTTTGATGAAATTTGGTTTGAAGGTGTAAGGCGGGATAAACTTGAATGAGTTCGCGATCCAGCATGATCGGACCATGGGAACAGGGTTTTATAGGGGTTTTTATGGGGTAAAAATGGGTTTTTCTCACTTTTTACCCTCAAAACACAAAATTTCCCAATTTTTCTCTAAACCTTCTTAAAGAGCTTAAAAAAACAAACAATTCAGTATATCAAAGTGTTTTTGTACGGTTATTGGTTACGGAGAAAACTAAAAAAATGGTAAATTTAAAATTCCCATGTTATTCTTATGGAGAATATTGTAAAATGTTGAAGTTTGCTTGTTTATGGATATATTTTGATCAAAGTTGGCAAATTTATTTATTTTATAGTAAGCTATCAATATTTTACTAAAAACACACTACTTTATTAGTTTCCTTGTAGCAGCAAACCTAGGTACTCGTTAAACCTAATAATGTTATTTAAATAGATCAATTGAAAATCAATTCGGACAAATGGAAATTCGCTTAGACGGCAGGTTTGCTGCGGCGGGGGTATTTTGTTTTTTTATGGGATTTTTATGGGAAAATAACATAATTTACCATAACTTTTGAACCGTAATTTTTACAGAAATGGGATTTGTACCATTTTGTTCAGAATTTAAAGGACTACATACTAAATTTTTATCAAAATCGTTCGGGCCATTTTTGAGAAAATCCGATTTTTCCGGTTTTTTATGGGTTTTTATGGGAAAATCCCCATTAAAAATCAAAATTTCAAAAAAATGAAAAAAAACGCCTGGAGATACCATGGATTAGAACCTACATACCAAATTTCATTGAAATCGGACCACAGGTGTAGTCTCTAGCTCTGTACACATCCAGACACACAGACACACAGACACACACACACACACACAGACATCACTTCGAAAACCACTTTTTTGGGTCCAGGGGGACCCAAAACGAATATATCCACTCAAAACTCAAACTCAAAAATTTTGACGAAAACAATACTTTCTCCATATACTATGGTATAGGGGGAGAAAGTAAAACAGATACAGTTAATTGTTTTTAGCAAATTTCCCTATAGGGAAGTAGCTATAGGGAAGTAGGTGGCACGGTAAGACCTAGACCCGGCCAGGACTGATATGTTTTTTTCATTTTGATGACCCTAGAGGCCAAAAACCCTATTTGTTAGAATTGTTATAAGTTATGTGTAAATATATATATAGCCTATATATATATACAATGTGTTTAAAAACAAACTTTACAACTCCAGACAATAATAAAACCTTATTTTTCCACTTAAAGCTATGAAATAGTAATCAAAGTCTAGGAAATCATTTTAAGTTTTGGTACATAATAAGTAGTTTACCTAACTTCTATGTGTATCCCATTATTTGCATGCAAATAATCAGGTGTTGGGTATGTTGCTAGCCTAGTGTTATTTTACTTAGCCCTCTCCCACCAAACTTAATCCCTAAAGTCGACCAAATGAGGCATTCCAAATAAACTAATTACATCTGGGGGTTTTAATTGGTATAAAACAATTACCGTATGCTAAATCCCAATAAAAGAAAACCCCGGTACTGTGATTCCTAATGTAACTAATAACAGAAGCAAGAGTATCTTAGCTTTGAAGACTAACCAGTTTGGTGATTTGAAGTGTTCCAGTCAACACAGTTTAATAGCATTGATTCCTCTTCTTCTGTCACAAAGTCGTTCAATAGAGTTAAGCCTTTTGGCAGGGAATCCTGGGAGGATTCACCACTTGGAGGAACTGGAAATGTGTTTGCATATTAAATAGAACTCCAGTTTTTATTAGACGACAATGAAGATACATATACTGTATATAAATTTAACCACTTGATTGATATGTCATGATTAAATTATCAAGAAGTGTTGGGGAAGTTTTCATTTGAGTTGGCCTATAGAAAAAAGAATTGTGTCGATGAAGAAAAGGAAGAAAAATGCCAGTTTTTGTTGAGAGGCAGGTATTTTGATTGATTGGGGGAAAGTTTAAAACAATCTACCTTTAGACCCAATTTTAGTCCCTAGTCTTATCTACAAAGATAGGAGTAATAATACCGGTACTGTAAGTCTAGGCTACTTAATTTTGAAAAGGTGTTCTTTATATTCCTTGGCTCAAAATTAATTACAAGAATTTTTGAATTTCATAAAGATCTAGAAAGCAACAAGATAGAATTTTATGGTAAAGGATAATAAACGGTTATACCATTTATTACATAAGATTTTAATTGAATAATATTATATGGTAAGTTTACTCATGCTCTGCAAAGATGTTCCTATTTTTTTTTATTAAGGGTATAGTGCTGAGGAAGCATGGTATGCCATGTACGAAGTAGCAGCACTTCTGCAGAACGCGGGAACGTAGCGCTTATACAGTAGACTCCCTCTTATCCGGACTCCTCGGGACCGAGGCCAGTCCGGATAACGGGTTTTCCGGTTAAACCGACGTCCCCAAAAACTCGTTAAAACGGACTATTTACTCTGATATTCGACTTAAGTTTAGGAGAGCATTGTATTTAGACACGTGATCAATAGTCTCAAATCTTTCCCACAAGAACAGTCGTTTCAGTACTGCCCACTTCCTGCCGATCTAATCCGGTTAAACCAATGTGTTGATAAAAATTGTCCGGTTAAAGAGATTTAATTTCCACCGAGTGTAGTCCGGTTAAACCGATGTCCGGTTAAAAGGTGCCTGGATAAGAGGGAGTCTACTGTAGAGGATTAATCCAGCTAATTACTGTACAAAAACACCAACCAGTTTGTCTACAGAATCGGTGGAAATATTTGTACCTTCCGTCTGTAACATATTCAACCATTAGGCGGATAAATCTGTCTCCCGTTCAGAAAGAGTCAAGTATACACAGCCTATAGTGTTACATTTATATACGGTAGAACCTTGATAAAAAGACTCTCATGGGGATTATAAAATAAGTCTGGTTATCAAGGTTGACTTCTTATTGAGGTTTGCAATAACATGTGTTTAGAGGTAAAATAAATTCAAGGGGATTTGAAAAATACTTTTGTTGTCAAGAGTGACTTGTTATCGAGGGTCTTCTTATCGAGGTTTCACTGTAAATGTGATTATGTTTATGACCAAATAATTGTTAGTCATTGTAATTGACTAACAATCAATTTAATTATGATGACAGGATCAAGTACCTAACTGTTAGTTTAACTGTCTGCGACATGATAAACCCCTCCACAACTCTTAAATGGACTATGAGAAGCGAATTTTCTTCCCTTTGACTTAAACTCTACAAGATACTTATTTTGTGTGGTTAATGATTAATTAAATTTCTTATTTGTAAATGTACTGTTTCTTGTAATAAGTTAGATCACATTAGAAAAAATGGTTCCTATAATTTCCTAAGGTGGAAGTAAAACCTCCCCAAGCACCTGATAGTTCTTCACAATTTATGTGCCTAGTCAAGGGTTAAAAACTTAGCACCTACCAGTAATAAAAGTGTGGTGTCTTTAAGACTGAATCAGAAAAGAATGGTTTTTTTCTGATAATTTATGCCCAAATAAATAGGCTGATTGTGATTAAATTGTTAAAACAAAAAAAATATTCATAGACAAGAAAGTTTAAATTTTAGCTTAATATGTTAGTCAACTTATGTACCAAATTTTAACTTACCTGATGATGTGTAAACCAAGAATAGTGGCCCGTCCATGTTATCTAGTTTCAATATTCCATTTATAGAGTCAAAAGCTTCAGTGGCTTCATTTACAGTAGAATAAACTACAAATGAGTAGGATTTCCCAGGGATCATAACCAAGCTGTCAACTTTACCATACTCAGTAAGTAGTTGAGCTAGTTGTTCATATTTAATTCCAGATACAAGACCAGCGTTGCCTATCATAATATTCTAAAAAAAAAAAAACAGTGTAAATAAAAAACAATAACTTAATACACTTGCATTTAATTATGCATAATTGCTTTTTTTATATGATTATTTAACGTGTTTATAGCACTATTTAAAAGTGCAAAACCAGTCTATAGATAACATAAATCAACAACTCAATTCATTATAGGCCTAACCTAATCTAACCTAACTTCAAAACACTTAAGGGCCAAGTACAAATCCACATATAAACATATGGAAATTTTAAATTTAATTTATTAAATTATTTCTCTTTACGAACAATAGAAAACGTTCGCCGACCCCTCATAGAAATAAAAAGTAAAGATGATCGCAAGATCTCAGGTTCAAGTCACGTTCTCATGGGCAAAGACCTGGCTGAGAACAAGCCAGGCATAGATTGAATTTCGATCTGGAATGCATCGTAGAAGAAATTGTAACCGATGGGAACAATCGACGAGAAACAATATTGTTCCCATCGATTCCAAGAAATTATACATGCATAGAGAAATTATTTTACTTACGGTCAGCACCACGCCCTCTGGAGGCTGGACATGAGGGGAGAAGCCAATGAGGACGATGATCGGAGATATTCCACCGATGATTGGAGGGTAGGCGTTTCCCGAAGACATTGGGGGAAGAACCAAACATCGAAGGAGGGAAAGGAGGTCTTGGAGACGAAAATTGTTAATCAGTCTTGGAGAGGTCTGAGGAAGTAACACTTCAAAGAAGAAACCGTCGGGAGTCCCGGATCGAGTAGGGACAGTGACTTAGCGGGTTAGTCTGAAGCGCCTGTTAAGATCCCGACCAGACTCGAGACCACGAGGACACCACAACCCCACGGCTGTTCTTCAAGACCCAAGGCCACCAGGACACTACCACGCTACCAAGGACCAAAGCGAGGACCCGAAGAGGACGGCCCAGGACGAGCGACCGACGACGAGAGGAAGGACTACGCTTGGATCAACCCTTGTGCCCGGGCGAGCAACCCCGGAGTCTACGCCCGCACCAAAGGAACGCCCCGGGGAACCTTTCAATCGTCGCCCAACTGCCTCGTCTTGTGGTATGTCAAAATATCTTCACTCATTTGGTCCTAGTGTGCACAACGTAAATGTGAGGGAAAAACTCCATAAAATATAACGATATATATATATATATATATAAAATGAAATAAATAAACTATTAGAAAGAAAAGTTAATTAAAATAAATATATATAAACAGAGTAAATGAAGTAGAATTACGTTAAAGTTCATATAAATATTAACCCTTAATTAAACTAAAAGGGGTCAGCCTAAACTAGAGCCATTTGAAGTTTGAATAAACAGGATTCAAATCGAATCCAAATTAAATAAACCTATTAGTTGGACTACATATAGACGTGTATATAATAAAAGAGACAATTTCAAATATGTATAAATAATAAAAAATCAGGGTGTTAAACACGTATTTTAAATGTCTGTTTAGTTTGTATATATTATTAGAAGGATGCACTAACTTGTATGTAAATATCGGTTTTGATTTAGGATAGGACATTGCAAGTGTTTACAACTTATATTTTAAATACATTTAAGTGTCGAGGGAAATATTTCATTTCATATCATTATACAGATAATAAACTCAAAACATAGGGTGTAAATATTCAATCATATAATTTCAATTGTATTTGTGTTTTTGCTATTCTCAATTATTATTATATCGCTGTGTAACAATTATTTACTCTTTATTAACTCTTTATTTTATGTACTTATTTTATGTGTGCACTTTTAGTTAGACTTATTAAATCATAGTATTATACTGCACTGGTGTTCACTTATTCCACGATCCTAGAGGTCCTCCATTTAGTGAGTACTCTACCCTAGCTACATTTTTCCCCCTTTGAAGTAAGTTTTTGTTTGGTGAAAGTTTTCGTAAGTTTCTTTTACCTCTACAGAGGAGTAGAGGCTAGAGAGCTTTACATGGTGGTTTGCGCCGTTTTGATTTAATTATCAAGGAATAAGTGAACTCAGTGATAGTGCATGTGTTAGTCTTAAGAGGGTTGTATGCTATATTAATATAAGATATCTATTACTACAAATGGTTATTTAAGATTATCAAATGTGTATGTTTATTTAAATATTTCAACAAAGTGTTAGGGCCAAATTAGGGTCAACTTACATAAAACGCTCTTTTACTAACTAATTAATTAACTTCCCCAAATTATTAATTTCACAAAGTCTATACCCAATAATAAATATTTTACCATTACAATGACATGAGTGAAGATAGGGCAATAACCTTGACATTACAAAAGGATGTTTACCGACTCAGTAAAGAAGAACTTCAAAACACTTTAACTAAATTCAACATAAAATATAGGGATAGTGACACTGTAGCTGATCTTAGACCAATAATTGCCGACTTAAAATCCTACATAAAACACAACCTAACCGAAGAGAAAAAACACATACTTAGAAAACTATTAGGAAGACAATATCTCACGAACGTAGAATTAATCAAATACCCAGGTCTACTCCGAGTACAAAATTTTATAGAGGATAGGGACAATTTATACGACACCGCTGAAGATCAAACCGAAGAAGCAGAGTACGAGGAAATTCACTTCCAATTAGGACCGGAACAAGCAAAAATGGCAGATAGGAAAGAAAAACTTCCCCTAATATCCACGGGAACATATCACGGGCTACCAACTGAAAATCCTAACGAATTTTTAGACCAATATGAACTTGCGGCTCTGTCCAATCATTGGCAGGAAGAAACTAAACTTAATCTACTTCCGGCTCATTTAACCGGCACAGCCCTTTCGTGGTACAAACATCAGATCAGAAACAACGCACCGGTAAATTGGAACAATCTCAAAGAAACATTTGTATCTACATTCACCCCGGCAGCGCAGGCAACAAATCTACAAAACATTTTAGATAAAAAAATTCAAGGGAAAGATCAACCCGTTATAGCTTATTATTTCGAAATTTTAACCTTGTGTAGGCGGTACGACCCCGAAATCACAGACAAACGTATCGCGCAGTACATAATCCAAGGATTAAAGCCGGAATTTTGTGACAAGATTGTTACCGAACCCTGTGACACGCTCGAAGACCTCGAGAAAAGCCTAAAGAAGGTCGAGTTACAGCTAGAAATTAAGGCAGCAAATAGGGAAAAGCACAGTAGATTAGATGCCCATGCCCCAAGCCAAAGCAATATTAGCACAGGTAACAGGACGGAAGAAATACATCTTCTTCAAGAAGAAATAAAAGGCTTAAAGGAGCAAATCAACAACATGGCCATCCACAACAACCCTCAACAACAAAGGCAGCCATCAACTAGCTACCAACAACAGAGGGTCAACAACGACAGGGGAATGCGGAACTACACACACTCAGCACCTCCACCCACGCATCGCGGCCCAGCTGGCAGCACGGCACCCTGGCAAGGTCGTAGGTACAACACCAACATGCAGACACACTACAGGGGTAGGAACATGTTCTGCCAAATCTGCAAGAGAAACAACCATGACACCCACCAATGCAGATTCAGGTCCTACGCACCAGTCCACACCAACACCAGGAAATACTGCGACCACTGCAAGATGACCAACCACTCGAGAGAAGAATGCTTCCGACTAAAACCTAAAATGTACAAAAATGACCGAACCCAACAAAAAAACTAATTAGAAGGGGGCCTTTCCATACTAACAACACAGGAAGGTCTCCTCAACCATTCAGTATTAGGCCACAAAATACCCAAAACACATATTTTGAAATTACGAATTACGAACAAGAATTCCCTACCATACAAACTTCTAAACACATGAAACAACATAAAAGACAGATAAAAATTGAGGATGGGAAGAAAGAGGATAGATCGAGACACTACACTAGAACAGAAGAAAATTCTAGAGAAAGTAGAGGATCGAAGATATACCAAAGAAATTGGAGAACTCGTTCGACCTTAGAACCATTGTTTGATAGGACGACACATTGGAAGAGAGAAACGGATAAAGGATGTTACGAGGATAAGAAGAGGAATGAGAAGAAGATGACAGAAGAGAAGAAGAAGACAGAAGAGGATAAGAAGAAGAATGAAGAGGAAGTGAAGGAGACTGATATAGAACGAGATGAAATTTTAGGAGAACAAGATAAGAAGAAAATCTGCAAAGAATTAGAAGAACAGGAAGAACAACACATTGTTAACGGTTGTGAGATGCAACGTATAGCTCCCGACAGAATACACAAGGCAAGGAAGAATCGAAGATCAGAAGATAAGGAGATATACGAAACACTATTCAAGATGGGAAGGCAGGAAAATAACACGGTTCCAGTTTTGACGTTAAATGCTAAGTTAACAAACCATCACAACGAAGTAATACAGTGCATAGTAGATACGGGATGTAACATTAGCTTAATAAATTCAAAACTAGTAAATGAAGGGAACATTATTAAAAGTCAAACACCTAATGTGTTATCAGCAAATAGTACACCGATAAACATTTTAGGGACAACAGAAATCATGTTGGAAATAGATAACATAATTATTAGAGAGACACTTTACGTGTCACCAGATATAATTAATGACATAATTTTAGGCAACCGATTCTTAAACAAGAACAAACTTGAGCTAAATTACAACACAAAAGAAATCATTTTCAATTTAGGTGACTACAAACACAAAATTAAAATGAACAAGAGGTGGTTATTTCAAATCGAAAATGTAAACTGTCATTTCACAACTCAATCTGACAAACAAAACATTATCGATATTAAATGTGATAGGGACCTGATTATTGCTCCACATCAACACATAAGGGTAGAATTAAAGGCAAATGTTAGTAAGGAAGCAGTTTTTGAACAAGAAAAATCTTTAAAAGAAAAGAAGAAATGCCATATTTATCTCATAGAGGGAAATAAATATTTAAATATCTACAATGCTTCAAATACCCACAAACATATAAATGCCAACACAACATTAGGTTACTGCACAGATGAAATTACTGTTAGCGTGCATCACA